CAGCTTCCTCCTCCCTGCACCTGCCCAGAGACAACTACTGTCCTCCACCAAGCAGGGGCCTGGGTGCCGGGACGGTTGGGGTCAGAGGCATGGAGCCCAGTGTCAGTATAGAGCAGCCGTCCCCACCCTGGGCTGGCAGAGCTGCGGTGCCTTCGGTGGGTGACTCAGAGAGGGCAGGCCTCTCACCCACCCCATCCAGGGACCTAGAGTGTTTTGATGCGGAGGCTGCAGTACCCTTGGGGGTCACCTGCCTGCCCCGGGGGTCGGGGCAGCAGGCAGTGGGAAGGGTGGACGCATGGCCCAGCTTTCCTGCTCTCGGTCACGGCACAGTGCCAGGGTCCAGCAGCTGGCGGGAGGGGGACTCTGGTAGCTGATGGCCCATGTGCCTGGGTGCCACGTTGAGAAGCGGGCGCCCCCGGGCACCTGTGAGTGTCTACACTCACCCCTCAGGTATCCCTGTGCATGAGGGAGCACACATTAAGTAGCAAATAAAAAACACCAGGACAGGTCAGGAAAGGACAAAGGGAAAAACTGTATTTTAGTACCTTTGACAGTTTTTTTTTTTTTTCTTTTTTCTTTTTTCTTTGGCTGGGCCTCATGGCTTGTGGGATCTTAGTTCCCGACTCGGGATTTAACCTGTGCCCTTGGCAGTGAAAGCGCGGGTACTACCTACTGGACCGCCAGGGAATCCCCTGGTTTTTGTTTTTTTTTTCTGCTTTTTGAACAAGGGCCTTTTCATTTTGCACTAGGCCCTGCTCATTATGTAGTTGGTTTGGGGCACAGTAGAAATGGCAGGAGACTCGGGTTTGGAAGTGCTAGTGAATCCCTCCGCCTCTCCAAGCTGCAGTTTTCTTATCTGCCCTGGGCCCCGCTCCCCTACACCTGCCTTTCCGTGGTTCCGCGTGCTGCGGACGGGGTCTCGCTGGCTGCTTGCAATGTCCTGCTCGGTGCTCTCCCTGTCAAAGCTATGTTTGCCCCGAGGCTCTCAAGTCGTGGCTCTGTCGCACCTTCCCCAGGGTCGCTTGGTCAGAGCGAGTCTCTCCCTCCTCCCCTCTCATCTCACCTTGACTTTTTCATCTCCGCGTCCCCCACGGCCCCTGGCACAGTGCTTGGCAGATAGATAAATAGAAGGGGTTTTATAAGTGAGTGTCTTCATCTCCACGTGAGGCATCTGTCCTGCTGGGTGGCGGGAGCCGACTTTCCCCCTGGACTCAGCTGGTGCTCAGACAGGATGCTCGTATTCGGTCCTGACCTACGCATCTGACATCTGATGTGGGATCTCCCTTGCTCTGTCCGCATCAGTGCTGCTCTGGCACCCGGGGAAGCGGTCTGCGGGCGCCGTGTCATGCTGTCGGGGGGCTACTCTGCGAGGGTGCCCGGGCCTCTGTTCTCTACCTGGGCCTCTCTGGAGCACGGGCTCTGCCGTGACCCCTGGGCCCGGGGAGCACTGTGAGCTGGCACCCAGCACTAACCATTGAGTCTCTCTACCTGACTCCACCTGGAGTCGTGATGGTGACAAAAGAGATGAGGTCTTGAGCCAGTTGTTAAAAGTAAATAAGTAAATGAAGCAACAATAAGACCACTCCTCACACCTTGAATGGCTACTGTGTGCTGGGCTGTGGGCTAAGGGCTTTACACATATTAATCATTTGATATTCACAATAACCCTCTGAGGTAGGTAGCACTCCTGTCCCCATTTTATAGATTAGAAGACTGAGGCATGCAGAGGTTAAGTAACTTGTCCAAGCGTACACGGTTACCAAGATTTGAGTCCAGGTGTTTAACCGAAATGCAGTACAACCAAGGACTTTCAGTACTTGTAGGGTCCTTAGAGAGCACTGGACCCACACTGGATTGTGGGAGTGAGGCCCAGAGAGGGAAAGTGACTTGCCTCAGGTCACACAGTGAGTCCGAGTCCATGGGAACCTGGAAGGGAATCTCAGCCTCCTGACTCCAAGTCTATGCTCTTTCCATTCCCTGCTCCTGCCTTTGAGAGTGCCCAGAGGCCCTGATCCCATGGAGGAGGGAGACAGATTAGGATTCAGGTGACATGAGCCATGAAGGCAGCCCTAGCAGGCAGAGGCTGCAGAAACAGGGCAATGGATTCCGGTGCATGGCATCTGGGATGGTTCATTCCCTTGGAAGGGAGTCGCCCATCAGCCCCTGGATTGTTGGCGGGGAGGTGGTGGCATTTCCTACACTGGAGCCGCCCTTGAGTCTGCAGGGGCGGGACCGGCAGCTTTGCAAGAGGAAGGGCGTTCAAGGCCCCTGGCAGAGGCCTGGAGCTGGCTTCTCTCTGTGCCCTGGAACCTTCCTTGGAGAACTGGGGTTCTTGGGGAAGCTGTGGACACATTCTGGGGGGGACTTCAGACTTGCTTAGGAAGCCGGGGACACCAGACCTGGTATCTGTAGGTTCTGCCGGCATGGTCAGGGTCAGGAGAGAGGGTCCCACCTGGGCAGCAGGATCCTGCCTCTAGCTAGAGTTTTCAGGCTGGAGGCGTGACTTCTGCATTGCTTGGCCCATGCCCTAGACTCCAGTCTGGCCACTTTTGTGCTGTCCCCCTGGCCCTGGACTCCTGTCCTGGCGGAGCTGGAGGACCCTTCAGGAGAGTAGAGTGAGACCTTCCACTGAACAGATGTGTATAATTGAAGCCCAAAACATGGTGCCACAGAGCCAGGGCTAGGACTCCTGATGCCAAGGGGCTCCCCTGGCTGAAGATCTTTGGGGGGCTCAGACAGAACTGCTAACTGACTGGGTTCTCAGTGGGCTGAGGTCAGCTGAGGGCCGGGGATTCCACTTCTCAGATTTTAGCCTCACTCTGGCCACAGAGAATTTTCTAGCTCCTGGGGTTTGGCTTAGGTCCCTTTCTGAGCCTTCCAGTTAGGTGGGGTGGGCTCGAGGGGAGCATTCGCGACGGAAGGGAACTGGCCTTTGCTGAACCTGACCCTGTGAGTCCCTTGGGATGCAGAGCTGACCTTGGAGGACAGAGGTCCTGAGAATTGAGCCCTTTGAGGAAGGATCAAAGTCTTCGTGGGAGAGGTGGCCTCGGGTTGGTTCTCCACCCCGCCCGCAGGATACAGCGTGTTCGACAGAGAAAGATGGAAGAGCCCTAATGGTGTGCAGGTCATTTGGCTGGTGGAGATGAGGCAGGAAGGGGTGGGCAGAGGCTGGGGACGTGGGCAGGGGCCACTTTACAGAGAGGCTTGCTTGCCAGCCTGAGAATTTGATGACGGCGAGTCACTGGAGGGCTCAGAGCAAGGGAGTGGCCTGGGCAGGCCAGTTTTCGAAAGATTAATCTGGTGAAACTAGAGGCAGAGAAATTTGCCAGACCAATGTAAATGCTGGGGAGGTGAGTGTCTGTTAAGAGCAGCCCTTACTTCTGCTGCGACTGGGTGTGTAAATCAGAACATACGCCTCTCTGGAAAGCAGTCAGGCAATAAACATCGAGCCTTAAAAATGTTCTTACCCTTTGACTCAAAATTTTCCTTCTGTGGCTGTATTTTAAGGAAATCATAAAACAGGCAGAAAGAGCTTCAGCCACAAAGATGTTCCTTGCAGCAGTAATTATAATGGCGAAATTTTGAGGCTTTCTGCCAATAAGATAATTTAAAAGTCAACCATGATGTATCCTCTCAATAGAATGTTCTGTAGCTGTTGGAGTGATGTTTACAGAGGTTTTGTAGCTTTTATTTATTTATTCACGCTTCAACTTGAAGTGAAGAAAGTGTATTTTGTGCTTCTTTATCATCTGTGATACCTTCCACGAGCCAACCGAGCCAACCAACCGTTGATCTATTTGTTGGGGATACAGAGATAATGACATAATCCCTGCCCGCAGAGGGGTGATATGATCTCAGTTGGCCCAAAAAAATGTTTATGGAAAGAAGCCTGGAAGGAATGACATAGAATGGGGACCAGTAGTTTTCCCTCAGTCATGGGATTATAAGGAATCTTTTCTCTTTTCTCTGCTGGTTGGTGTTTTTCAAATTTTCCATAAGGAACTTGTGTTACTTTCATGATCATGGAAAAAAAGCTTCTCATCAAAAGGAGGAGCTATTGCAATAGTTCAGGGAGACGGGATGGAGTTCTGTATTTGGGGAGTGGTGTGTGTGTGTGTGTGTGTGTGTGTGTGTGTGTGTTGTGTGTGTGTGTGTGTGTGTGTGTGTGTGTGTGTGTGTGTGTGTGTGTGTGTGTTTGTGGGTATTTGTGTGTATGTATTTGTGGTGTGTGTGTGTGTATGTGTTTGTGTGTGTTTCATTTATTCATTCAACAGTTATTGACTGAGACACACTGTTTTAGGCCTGGAAACACACCAGTGAACAGCACAGAAACCCCTTCCACTGGGGAGTCCAAATCCGGGGGAGAAAGAGGAGAGAGTGAGGCAGGTGTGGCCCCAGCACTCTGTGACTGACTGAAAGTGGGGACGAGGCAGGGAAAGGGGTCACGGGTGATCCCCAGGCTGGGGGAGAAGGTGGTGCCTTCATTGAGGTGCGGACTTGGGAACAGGGGCAGTTCCAGGACGCTCCCTGTGGTCGTGGTGCGCATGTGCTACCTGCTGAGCTGAGGTCCAGGAGGCGGTGGGGGACATGGGTCAAGGACCTAGGAGACTAGAGGCTGGCCTAGAGGCGGAGATTTCCAGTTGTCTGCAGGGCGGGCGGTGACCCTCAGAGATGAGAGTAAGTGTAGAAAAGGGCCACCCCAGACAAGCAGCTGCTTTATGCAGGTGGGCGGAGGTGAAAAGGTGGCCAGGACACGCCTCCCCAGGCAGTGGCATTCGGACCTGGGCTGTGTCTGTAGAAAGGGTATAAAGAGCGGAGAGCTGGGTGTGGCGGGGGCAGGGCAGGGCGTGAGGGGCTGGGGGTTCCCTGGTGCTCACCTCCAGCTCTTGGCTCCGGGAGGGGGCAGCTGGACAGGAGAGGCCAGTGGGGCCACAGTGGCCTCCCAGGGTCTGGCTGACAGCCATGCGGAGTCTGCTCACCTCTGTTCTTTTCTTCTGCAGGAGAAGCGAACGTGCCGTGCACATCCAGCATCCTCCAGGAGAAGCAACGTGAGTTAAACCTGGCCCCCAGGAGTCTTTTCTTCACCTTGGATGGGTCCAAGCTCCTTGGGCCGGGGGCCCCCTCATCCACTCAGGTGGTAGGGTCTTTTCACTATTGTGCGGGATCGGAGGGCCGGAGCCACTCTCTGCCCCAGGAGCTGAGCTTCACGGGTTCCCAACTTCCTACACGCTGGGCAGCTCGGGGGTCAGGGCCAGAGAGAGGAGCCTGGGGCTGATGGGCCAGGAGGCTGAGCTCAGCAGAGCAGGTGGAACCATGGAAAGCCTCGTGCGTGGTCTGCCTGTGGGCAGAGGGGGGCACCGGCAAGGGGAGCAAGCCCTCCTGAGCCGTTGAGACCATCTCTCTCGGGTGACACAGCTTCCAGGAACCGCAGTTGGTGACACGGTAACCGAGGCTGTGCCAGGGGTCATGATCCTTCTGTCCCATCACTCAGAGGCCTTGTCTGCAGGGTGGGACCTCCCAAGTCCTCGTGTCCTTCGTATGATACAGGCGTCTCAGATTTCCTTCTGTCTGAGTTTTCTCAAGGGGCCGAGCACAGGATTAGACCCAGGAGAGACTTGGTAAAGATGTCAGTTTCTGGCACAGTGACCTCAGGGCCTCTTCCCTGGAGGTTTGGGGCGCACTTGATGGGCACTGTCTGAGCCGGACGTCTTTGCTGTTGGCAGTATTGAGTTCCGCACGAGGCCAGGGCTGGGGGACTGGGGTCTGTGTGTGTATCTGGGGGAGGGTGGGCTCAGAACTTTCGTTCCTTCTCTCTCCTGCTCTTTTGGTCTGTGGTTGCAGCCCACTCTGCCCACCCCCTCCCCAGGCTGAAGCCTTTCTTGAGCTCTTCCTCCAAGCTCTTCCATCCGTCAGCTAACAGGAGGGGTAGCGCCAGCTTCCCACGGCCTGAGTAGGTGCACAGGCCTTGGAGGAGATTTCGATGCTTCAGACAAACGGTGGCAGTTCATAGATGAAGCCCGTCAGGGGCTGGGCGCCATGAGCGTCTCTGAGAGGGGCGTGCCCCCGACAAGACTCAGGCCATAAGCGCACCGGGCAAGGGGAGGGGCAGTGCAGAGAGGGGGGCAGTTCTCTCTCCTGCGTCCTTACAGGATGTGAGGAACCAAGTTCAGCAGCAGGGGGGCTGGGTGTTGAAATGTACCCACGGGATTTTAATTTATAGAGGTGACTGAGTGAAGACCGGGAGAGATCAAAGCCATGGACCGAAGAATTTATTATTTACACTTCCCCAGGGCAGGGGCCACGGGGGAAGCACCAGGTTTGGTCGGGGGTGGGGGTGGGGGGGTGAGGCGGGCAGAAGGGGCATGGGGCAAGCCTGGCCCGGAGCCTGGATTGTGTTTTCCGTGGGAAAGGCACGTCAGGGCAGGGGAGACAGCTGAGGACTGGCTGGGTTGAATAATGTCTCAGGCTCCTGGCCACAGGGGCGGTCTCTAGTTCTCGGGCACCTGGCCCCAGGGTGATTTAGGGCAGGGGGGGATATTGGCCTGGGGCGTGGGAGTTCGATGAAAGGAGGTGGTTGGAGCTGAGGACCCAGGATTGGTTGGTTTGCATGTGAAAGGTGCGTCCTAGGGTGAGTTGTTTATTATCTCTAGGAATTAGCATGGCCTGGGAGGGGCAGTCTCTCCCTGGCCAGCTAGGCTGCCCCCAGAGATGTCAAACATAATAAAATAAAAGCATGCTTAACACAGGATCACATTCCTCAGGAATGTGAGAGAGGAACCAAGCCCAGATCACTCCTTCTGGGCCCCTAGGAAGAAGAAACCACAGCGGCCTCAAAGTGAAAAACACGGCCACCTGCCGTGGGACTGTCTCGGAAACGCCAAGCCACAGCTCTGTTCTCCACAGACACAAATGAATTGATCGGACGTTTGGTGTCTTCTGGACCCGGTTGGGGAAGAGTGCGTGTTTAAGGAGAAACAAAGCCTTTTCGTTTGTTTGTTTTCTGTTTTTTACACCACGGTTATAGATTTTAGTCAGAATGAGATTGCCAGCGGCTGTCATCCACGTCTCCTCCTTCAGGATTTTCTTGTGTCGTAAAGAATAACAGTAGATGCATGGAAGAATTTCAGAGCTGAAATGGTCATTGAGGTCAGTGATTGCCAAGCACAAACCCAACGTTTCTGACAACGAGGCAAGCGACAGTCCTGTAATGTGTTTTCCCATAACATTCAATGCATTCAGTTGAGAGAACAGCTTTTTATTCCGCACTTTGGTCCTGTCTACACATTATGGCATTCAAATACTTTTGCTTTTATGAAATGACGGTGGTAGTTGATGGCGATTTGTGTTTGTCATCCCAAACTGGCAAAATAAAAGTCTGTGACCCTGAATAAAAATAGAGTAATAGCAATGCCTGACATTTATCATGTGCTCCACCATTTATGTTACACCTCTGTGCATATTATCTTATTTGATATTTCCACCTGGTTTTCAAAACCTCACTAAAACCAAGCTGGGAAGTGGTAAAAATTGCCCTGGACCAGGAGTCAGAAAGTCCTCGGACTGGTGCTATAGCATCTGAGCTTTAAAGGTGTCAGGCCTGGGCTTGAGGCCCAGTTCCTCCATTTACTCTCTGTGTTTCTTTGGGCAAGTTACCTAACATCTCTGGGCCTCGGTTTACTCAGTTGTGGAAAGATGATCGTAATGTCTGCTTCGACAGTCGCTGAGGGCATAGAGGTAACGTACATGGGTGCCAAGGTCTGCACCTCACAGACAGGAAGCATTGCGTGGTTCTCGCTTATTATTGGCTTTTGGATGAGACTTGGAACACCTGGTGCAGGCGCGGGGGTGAATCTCAGCATCTTACGGAGCCCAGTCTTTTCCATGCTCTGCTGGTCCTGTGGCTGGCTCTGTTATCACTGTCACAGTCTGAGTCCTCAGGGAGCCCTCCTGAGCTGGCCACAAGGGTTGGGAGTGCAGGAAAGGGGCCTTCCAGGGCCTCCCAGCTCACGTGCAGGCATGGGATTGTAAGGCCTTGTCCGCAGTGACCGTGGGTGGGGGACTCCGGGGGTGTCCTGGAATCCTCCCTCCTCTGCCAGGCAGCCCAGCCTTCAACCTGCAGCTGCACAGGTGTGCTGACAGCCTGCTGCCTCTGGCTTGTGCTTGCTGTTTGGAACCAGACTTGAGGAAGCCTAGGGAACCAGTGCGGAGGGGCCGGTGGAGGCAGAGGGGAGAGAGGGGCTCGGACCAGGGTGCAGGAGACCTGGGCCCCCCACCCCTCCAGCTAACTTGCTGTGCAGCCTCAGCTCCTGCCTGTGGCCGGTCTCCTGGCCCGTCTGTACGTAGAGCCCCTTCTAGCTCTGACATTTTAGCGCTCTCTGATTTTCCGTCGCTGCCTCTGTCTCCTGGTTTCCTTTGCCTGCACGTCTGGCTGTTCTGCCGTGTTCACGCTACTCCACAGCAGAACCGACGTTTACAGAACACTTCTGGCACCTGACATGGTGCTGGGTGTAAGGACTCGGGGAGCTTACTACCTGCCCATTGAACCTCACTCCTGTTCTTCTGTGCAAAGTGAATGGCGCCATTTTCCGCAAACTCATGCCAGACACCTGGGCGTCCTTCTAAACTTCCCCTTCTCTGCCACCTTCCAGAGTCAGATCAGACCCCTGAGAGCATCCATTGTACCCCCAGCGGATCTCTCATGCCTCCACCCACTCCATCCCCTATCCCTTCTCCGGCTGAGGCCACCATCTTCTCTCTTCTGGATGGATCCATCTTCCCATGCTGGCCTCCCTGCCTCCGGTCTCTCCCACTTTGGTTCTTCCTCCAGAGTGTGAGAGAAACCTTCTCAGGAGGCAGACTTGTCCTCATGGCCTCCTGATGCCCTCTAGTGATTCGTCTCCAATAAAGGATGAGATCGGCCTCCGCATGACCTACCTGCCCACCTTCCCCACCAGCCCTCCCCTTCCTTTCCAGACCGACTTCTGGAAGGAGCATGCAGACTCCAAGCACAGTTTTCTCTTAAGCTAGTTGGAAAACTCGAGCAGTGCATCCAGCCCCGTGGAGGGGACACTAGTAGCCCCCTCCACAGCAGATGGTAGGAAGGACTTGGGGCTCCAGAGTGATTCCCTTGGGACCCAGCCCTGTCAGCCTCTGCCCTCTGCTCCATTCATCGCTTCCTGGATCAGGGAGCTGGGTCCGCCCCTCCCTGCCGGGGCCTACTGTCATCACAGAGGTGGCTGAGGGCACAGCTGTTGGCTCAGTGGGTGTAGTAACTCTCCTTCCTCTGTCCCCCGGCTCCATCTCCAGGGAGGAGCAGACTCTCCCAGGAGAGCCGTGGCTGCCTCACTCTCTCCATCCCCCTTCCCTTCCCCTCTCAGCAGCTTCACAGTGTGCAGGGCGCTGCACACTGATCTTCACGGCCACCTGGATGCTGGGAAAGGTTGCAGTCATTACAACTGTGTCACATTGAGAAGATAAAGACCAGGGGTAAATAACCTTCCAAGGAAGGTGCTCGCACACAGGTCTCCATGCCCCTCCATCTCCAGAGCTCAGTCCCATGTCCGGTCTGAGTTCCCATTTTCCTGAAGTTTCTCCTTTCTGGTCACCCCAGGTACCCGGGGAGGTGCCCCATTGTCCCCTGTGTCACACAGGTACCCCCTTCAAGAGCCAGCTCCACGAGCCCCTCAAAAACTTGGGGTCCAGGATGTGCACAGTAAAGTGCAAGTTGGAGGACTTTCTCTACCTCATGTCCACCTGTGTGTGTCGGGGGGGTGGGAGGAGGGTGCAGATTCCAGGACGGGAGGACTTGCTCTTGGGCCCTCCGAGTGGGACCCAGTCTGTGTGGAGTACAACTGGACCTGCACATGTGACTTATACTTGTGGTTGTCAGATGGCTTTCTCAGGGCCAGTGCCAGGCTTCAGATGCAGGGGTGGGGGCAGCAAGTGGTGCCCCCAATGTGGGGAGGGTCTGCCCGTGGCTATGCCTGTTTGTTAGAGCGGGCTGAGCAGTGAGTCTGAACTTTCTCTCGTCCTCGACAATGGTCCAGAC